GTCAAGTTTTAACACATCTTAACAGCATAATAAAAAATGTGCATCATGTTTTGAAATATATATATTAATATATATATGTAAAGAGTGGTCAAATATTTTATTGAGAAATAAAAAAAAATTAAAAATGCAAAATTTTTGGGTTATCAATTTTAGTATAATTAATTGGATAGCCTTTAGATTTTTTTACAGCATCTATTCTTCTAGGCACATTATCAACTAAATTTGTCAATGTCTCTATGTCAGTTTAGTACTATTCTTCTTCCAGGGCAGCAAAATGATCATCTTTATTTCTCACATTTTCTAACTCTCCTTCTAACAGTTCCTTCTTTATTATAATATTATATATTGTTCTCAATGGTATCCCAAGACTTTTGCTTATTTCTGACTTGCATACATCACATTTCCAAGCACCAATTACATCTGCGTGCTCAACAACAGATAATTCTCTAATTTTAGTCATCTGATTTAAATATATGATTTTTTGTAAAAAACAACATGAAGATCTAAAAACAATTTTGATAAATGTCTGTATTATGTATTATTCGACCAATATATGGGGCATGGACAATAGAAAGGGGGCAAACGTCAAAAATCATGATTTTGAGTTGATGCCATATATATATGTAACTCGTCGCAAGGAACAATTTTAGCTTAAGAACAATACCCACATTACTTAATAAAATTTTGAGATATTTTCTGTTAAAGTTTTTAAAAACAATAGGTAATTACTTGAAATGCAGATCTTTTTTTTCAATTATCTCAAAATCGTGATTTTGACGTTTGGTCCCTTTCTATTGTCCATGCCCCATATAATGTAATGTTTAAATATTTTAAATATTCATTGTATTGAAATTATATATTGCAAGCCTATGTTTTTGATCCAAATTGTTATCAAATGTTACATTAGGATATCATCACCAATTGATGGATTATCATTTGAATTTTTCTCATTTTCATTCCCATTTTCATCTAATATGGATGTATTTTCTATATTTTCCAATCATTGTATATACAAATTACCTAAATTTTCAATTCCATTAATAAAATAATCTAAACAATACTGACCACATATCAAAATGTTTGAATCACAATCCTCTTCAATATTGCAATCCTCATAATCACACTTAATATTAGAATCTTGTGAATTTGATGTATGATATCCTGAAGGTAATGTACAGAACTGAACTTCCAAATTAAATATTAGTAAGGTATATGTTTTCTTTTTGCCCTTTTTGTAATAGACTCCATTTCTTGCTTTAAGCTATCTATATTGTTTTTTAAATGGGGCATACTGCAACAAAACCAAACAAAGTGAACATTGGTATTACCAAAGATTTCAGGGGTCAAATTTTAGTAATGTGATTAATAAAATCTTCCATTTGT